ATAATTCTGACAACATGGTTCACAGCGTTTCATAAATTAGCATTTGTCTCCACAAACTCATTTCATGAGAACAAGTGATAGGCCAATGAGAAAAAAGAAAGTGGAAGAGGACAAATGCAGAGGCAGGAGAAGTATTTTATAATTTGATAAGATACTGGGACTGGTGCTAATTATTATATCACTATTTTAAAAAAAACTGTAAGTTGCTCCACAGCACTATTGGATGTATGCTCTTTTAGAAGGAGGAATACTTTGCCTCCTGCACTACTCAGTCTCTATGCAGGGATGTGACCTGCTGGAGACCACCACCAGCACACGCTGCTTTGGGATTGGATGCTGAATGAATGATGATCTGTGGTCAGGAGCACAGCACGCTGACTGGCTCTCCCAGGGCTCAGGACCTTGACCTATTATGATTAGTATTCCTCAGACTGACAGCCAAAAATGCATGTTTAAGGAAACAGAAGAGACAGGGCTTTACATGACAGGCACACACACACACCTAAGTACAGACAAGCAGGACATTATAAGAGCAAATGCTAATGAACCATCAACATTAAAAAAACAATCAAAGTCCTCCATCACATAAATAAAAGAAAGGAAAAGAACCACACGATCATATCAATTGATGCAGAAAAGGCATGTGACAAAATCCAACACCCATTCCTGATCAAAACTCTCAGCAAAATAGGAACAGAAAGGAAATTCCTCAACATAACAAAGGGGTATGTCCAAAACCAACAACCAACATTATTCTCTATGGTGAGAGACTGAAACCATTGCCCCTGGAGAAGAGGAACTGGATAAGGATGCCCTCTATCACCACTTCCATTCAACATTGTATTGGAAGTTCTAGCCAGGGCCATAAGGCAAGAAAGGGAAATCAAAGGCATCCAAATTGGTAAGGAAGAAGTCAAACTATCACTATTTGCTGATGATATGATACTAGACCTAGAAAACCCAAGAGACTCAGGAAAAAAAAAAACTACTGGAACTAATTGAGAGATTTAACAAAGTGGCAGGATATAAGATCAACATACAAAAATCAGTTGGATTCCTCTACACCAGCAAAGGATTGCTGAAAAGGAAATAAGGAAAACAATACCATTTACAAAAGCTACCAAAAAAACCAAAATACTTGGGAATAAATCTCACTAGGGACACAAAAGACCTGTACAAAGAAAACTACAAAACACTACTTCAAGAAACCTTAAGAAGAACAATGTGGAACAAAACTCAAAATCACTTGGAGTAAAAAAAAAAAAAGAAGGTGGGGACCAGGTTTGCTGGTCCAATAGAGCCTGGTGAAACCACTGAGACTATGGCCCCTAGCTGCCCTTCAGGTCTGGAATTGAACCCACACCTGTGGTTTCCAGCCAAACAAAGTATAGGCAAGTGAGTTAAACATTTAACTCAAGTAGACACACACCCTGGAGAGAACAATCATGGGAGAAGGAAAGGCTGCTTATACACAGAGAGACAGCTCAGGGTGCAGGAGAGTATGGAGGGATGGACACTGGGAAGAGGTAACTATGGGGAGGAAGTGGGAGGGGAGCTGTTGCATTGTAAATTTTGGTCAATGGCATGAGACAAAGTATATGTGAACTGCTGTATGAAAAATGAATTTACTCTGTAAATCTTCACCCAAATCAAAATAAAATTAAAAAAAAAAAAAAAAAGAAACCTTAAGAGATCTACATAAATGGAAGAACATACCATGCTCGTGGATAGGAAAATGTCAATACTACCCAAAGAGATCTATACATTCAATGCAATCCCAATCCAGATCCCATCAACATTCTTTAAGGATATGGAAAAACCAGTCACTAACTTTGCATGGAAAGAAAAGAGACCTCCGATAAGCAAAGACTATTGAAGAAGAACAAAGTAGGAGGTCTCACACTGATGTATCTCAAAATCTACTATACATCCACAGTAGTCAAAACAGCCTGGTACTGGTACAACTACAGACACATAGACCAGTGGAACAGAATTGAGAACCCAGAAATAGATCCATCAACCTATGATCAGCTGATCTTTGACAAAGGGCTGAAATCCATTACATGGTGAAGAGATGGTCTCTTTAACAAATGGTGCTGCCAAAAGTGGATATCCATTTGCAGAAAAATGAAACAAGATCTGTACTTCACACGATACACAAAAACTAACTCCAGATGGATCAAAGATTTAATTGTGAAACCTAAAACTATAAAGTTCCTCAAGGAAAGACAAGGGGCAAATTTAGAGGCCCTCATTTCTGGCATAAATAGACTATCAAGCATAACCCAAAATGCACAAACAGCAGAAGATAAACTAAATGAATGGGACCTTATAAAAAATAAATTTTTATGTGCTTCCAAGACTTCTCCAAAAGAGTAAAAAGAGAACCTAGAGATTGGGAAAAAATATTCGGCAATGACATATCTGACAAGGGACTTATCTCTAAAATTTATAGAAAATTCTAACACCTCAACAACAAAGAGACAAACAATCCAATTTAAAAATGGGCAGAAGACAAGAATAGACACTTCACCAAAGAGGATATCCAGGTGGCCAGCAAATACATGAAGAAATGTTCACAATCATTAGCCATCAGAGAGATGTAAATCAAAACAGTGAGATACCATCTCACTGCAGCTTTAATAGCAAAGTTCAACAAGACAGAAAACAAATGCTGGCGAGAATGTGGAGAGATTGGGACTCTCGTACACTGCTGGTGGGACTGTAAAATGATACAACCACTATGGAAAGCAGTATGGCGATTCCTTAAAAGGTTGTAATTAGAAATACAATTTGACCCAGCCATTCCATTACTAGGTATATATCTAAGGAAGTGAGAGCCAGGACAAGAACAGATACATGCACACCTATGTTCATCACAGCCTATTTACAATAGCAAAAGATGGAAATAACCTACATACATGCCCATCAACAGAAGAATGGATAATCAAACTATGGTACATACACACAACAGAATACTATGCAACCCTAAAGAATAATGTACAATCTGCAAATCACCACATAATGTGGATTAACCTGAAGGACGTTATGCTGAGTGAAATGTCAATCACAGAAGGACAAATACTGTATCAGTACATTATTGTAAAAAGTCAAGGAAAGGTTTATATATGGAAAGAAACTTTCTTTGTTGGTGACCAGGGGTGGGAGGAAATGCTGCAAAAAAAAAAGAGAGCAAATACTAATGAACCTAGAGTAATAAGCCTAGACACTTTACCTGATGGGAGTAAAAATTATGAGAAAGCTAATTTGCGGCTAGTATTAATAATTCTGTAAACTAATATTTAAACACATTTTTTTAAATCACAACATATTTTTTTATCATTACATCACATTATAAAACACATGTATATAGTTGTAACACTTACTTTTAAGCATTTGGCCAAATACACTAGAAGGGATTATCAGAAAAACAGTGTACACTGGACATTTCCAAAGGAAAAACCACAAAACATATAAACTAGAAGTAATAATTCTGATAAAAAATATTTTGCTTGCTAAAATATAAAGTCACAGTTGCACATATTTATGAAAAATCCTCATCAGATCTAAGATGAACAAAATAATAATTTTTATAGAGTCTTTACTACGACCTGGATGCTACTTTAAGAGGTTTACATGTATTATCCTATTTACTTCTCACAATGACTCTGTGAGACAGAGTATCAGTAGTAATTAATAATTAAGTTCTTATTCCTACCTATCTGATCAACTATAATGGTTTTGATGAGATAAACAGCTTTAATTTCCTTAAACTAGAATATATAAGGTACTGAAAATGGATGTGCATTTCCACAGTACATTCAAATTGAAGGTCATCAGGCATTACCCACAGGAATTTTTATTTTCCAGTCTAGTATGTATAATAAAGGTACGCTCTCTTATTGTAATTGCTATTAAAACGTAAGTAGACATGTTGCTTAATTTCTCACACTTGCATCCTATCTTCCCATCTAGCGGATACCACCATGTTTGTTTTTTGCTGGCATGTGTAAGTGGCATGGCTATAAAGCAGTTCCACTACTTTTTGTGGCTAATGAAAGTCATTCTCACTACTTTATAATCCCAAATTCTCCAACCAATGGGTTTGCTTTACCACAAGAATTAACTCATCAACTTATGTCTCACAAGGGAAACAATATGAAAACAATTTATCAGTGATCAACAGCATGTAGGTGAAAACATTACAAAAATCAATCTTCAGACTGTTTGTTTCTTTAGTCCCAGTGGCTACCCTAGCGGTTGCACATACCAAAAGCAGACCCATTGCATAAGCACTGGAGAACTGCTTTTTAATAGCAAGGAAAAAATACAAATGCAATAAATCTGCCTATTTTTATAATAGTGTAGGCTAGGGTACAGGTGGAATGGGGGCTTTCACTGTTTACTTCTTACATTGCTAGACTGTTTTGTTACAATGGGTACACACCATCTTAAAATTTAAAAAAAAAAAAAAAAGTAGCTCTTAACTGCTAATAAGTAAGGAAGAAGTTTATTATCTCATGTCAGAAGTTTGGGGTTTCATATTAAGAAATTCCTGAATTTAATTTAAATTAAATGTATTTACCCTACACTACAGTGCTATTAATCTGGGAGCTCTGGATCTAATACAGTGTTTCAACCTACACAGTATCTCTCTCCATCCAGACATCTATGGATTTGGAAAAGTGCTTCCTTACCCTTATTCCAAATTCAACCCGTGCTAATGGAGAGAAGGAAATAACCCAAATGCCATTTTTATTTGGCTTTGGAATACACTGTATGTTAAAAAACAAAACAGTATCTACCTAATTCTAAGGCTTAAGTAAGAACATTAAAACTAATTAGAATTTCTGAGCATTCTCCAAGACGTTTAGGTAGCAACAATGGGCGATAACATACCTACATTTGAACAACAGTTGACTGAAGTGAACAACTGATGACACCAATGCTGAAACAGAAAGGACTGAAAAGGTTGACATATTTATAAAGAGGCTGCTTACCTTACAAACAGAAAGAATATTAATGTTTATCAGCTTCTTGATGACCTGCAAAAAATATTGATGACTTTATATAGATTTGATAATAGAATTCACCATATTAGAAAAATATTCAAGGAACCTAAACAAAAAAAAAAAAAAAAAAACAAACTAACTGCCATTGAGTTGATTCTGACTCATAGTGATCCCGTCTGGGTTTCCCAGGAGATAAATCTTTACAGAAATAGATTGCCCAGTCCTCCTTCCAGGAAGTGCCTAGTGGGTTTGAACCGCCAACCTTCTGGTTAGCAGTCAAGTGTCTCAGGCGTTATGCCACCACGAGCTCTTCAAGTAACCTAGCAATGCATTTAAAGCTTCCCCAGATATCGCTAAGACCTTGAAAAAATGGTAGCAGTTGGCGTGGAGAAGCGGATTTCATTTTATCGTCAATACGGGTGTCTCTTGGTTTTAAGAAGTTCGCTTTACGCCACTTCACTTTTATGGAAGACTAATGTTAGTATCCGTTTTTGTTAACCAAGAAAAATCTGAAGAGGATTTCCACTTTCATGGAAACAGGTGGACAGTGAAACCAGTGTTCAGCGTTTCCTTTAGAGTAAACCATTAAAGAGACAGTGCAAATCCTCAGCAGCGTGAGCGGTTATCACCAAGGTCCTTCCCTGGGACCTACACTCAGCATCAAGCCATCAAAGCTTTGAACTGTGTCTGTGAACACTCTATGTTAGTGTACTTTAGGTTTTATGTGTTGGAATGATTTAGAAGGTTACTTTTGAGTCTGGGAATGCGCAGGTTTTTCCATATGAATGAACGGTAATGGCTTCTTCACTTTACACTACTTCAGCTTATGAAGGGTTTCATAGGAATGTTCTACCTTCAAATAGTTGTGAAACCTGTATTGTGGTATTTTTCTACCAACAGCAGCAATTTACACTAATGTGCAAATCCAAGGTATATGTGCAAGTTAAATTTGGAAGCAAAAAGATAGTAGATCTAAAATAAATATGAACACTGCAATTTCTGCTCTGTTCATATGGAGAATAAACCAAAAAACCAAACTCACTGCCATTGAGTCGATTCCGACTCATAGCAATCCTCTTTGGGTTTCTGAGGCAGTAAATCTTTATGGAAGTAGATTGCCCAGTTTTCTTCAGAGGAGTAGCTGGTGGGTTTGGACCCTCAACCCTTCTGGTTAGCAGTCAAACGCCTTAGGCATTATGCCACCAGAGCTCCTTAATAAAGAGAATAGAAATTACTATATGTAAAATGTTCAGTAGTTTTTTTTAATTTACATATTTCTTCAATAATTTGTTTTTCTAGTTTTTATTAAAGGATTACACATGCACCAAGGATACAGCTTTCAGTTTGGTAGAGCTGGTTCACCTGAACCATATTGGTGTATTAACATATTTATGATTTTAAAATGGATCCTTAAGATCCTAATAGTTAAAAACAGAGCTGTTTTGATATAATAATAAAAATAACTAGAGTTATTACTGAATCAGAGAGCTCTGATGGCATAGTGCCCAAGGCATCTGACTGCTCACCAGAAGGCTGGCAGTTCAAACCCACCAGCCACTCCTCAGAAGGAAGCCTGGGCAATCTACTTTCATAGAGATACTGCCTTGGAAACCCAAGGAGAGGTCTCTATGAGTTGAATTGACTCAACAACAGTGAGTTTGGTTTGGTTTATTATTGAATCTGGCACTGTACCAATGAGGTTATGAATATTTTCTCACTTAATCCTTGCAACATCCCTATGGAGTTGCCTATTTTGTGGACAAGGGAACTGATACTACGGTTGAGATAATGCCAGGGCAACTCAGGTAGTCAGTAGAAGAGTCAGAGAGGGAACCCTCAGGCAGCTGGACTACAGTGCTCAGTCTTCATCATTATACCATCTTTTCTCATCAATGCCTGCATGCATTAGTTTTGTTAGTAGAGTTTCTTTATACAGAAAAAAACTTACATTGTCCAAGTCAGGGATATCCAAAAAGTATTCTGGATACTCATATGACATTCCCACATTGTTCACTGAAATAAAGACAAGATCATTAGCTGACTAACATGGTTTAAAGACGTACTAAAATAATAAGATTAAAGATATCAAGACTAAAATCATATATACAATTATATAAAATACTGGAGAGTGACCTTTCTCACAGTTTCCTACCCATTCTAGAAAGTCCAGTTCAAATACCTCCTTCATTAACCCCTTCTGTACTCTCCAGCCAATCCCTGACAAAAGGGACTCAAATTCTCCTCTCAATTTCCACAATGCCTTGGATTATGTATATTCTGCCTCTGTAGCACAGTTATTGATAGATATTACATAATCCCTCTCTAGATCTTAAATTTTCATAGTGTAACAGAAAAAGCAAGAAGTAGGAGAGTAGAAACTTGAGTTCTAATTATAACTGTTTTCTCAATGTCATCCATAAACATTGAGCATTATGGATAACATTGAGAAGAATGGGAATTCCCGAGCACTCGATTGTACTCATGAGGAATCTGTACTTTGACCAGGAGGCTGTCATTCAAACAGAACAAGAGGACACTACATGGTTTAAAATCAAGAAAGGAGTGCATCAGGGCTGTATCCTTTCTCCACACTTATTCAATCTACATGCTGGGCAAATAATCTGAGAAGATGGACTATATGAAGAAAAACGTGGTATCAGGATCGGAGGAAGAATCATTAACAACCTGAGATATGCAGATGATACAACTTTGCTTGCTGAAAGTGAGGATGACTTAAGGCACTGTGTTAGATTGGGTTCTCTAGAGAAACACAAAAAACCAACAAAGTATATATACATATATATTTAGAGAGAGAGAGAGAGAGATTTATCTTAGGAAAATGGCTCACAAGCGTATAGAAGCCGACAGACAAGTCCAAGCCGAAAAGTCCGTCTCTGGAGGAGGTGGGGCTTGCGGCCGCCTTGGCTTCCGCAAGCACAGGGGAGCCAAGAGATTCAAGCTGGCATGCAGTATACTGGTTGTTGATTCCAACAAAAAAAGATGAATCCGAGATCTCCAGGCCGAGCGGTGGGCCGCTCACTCAAGGAAGTCTGTAGTTCGCACACCAGGGTTCCAATTCCTTAAGGAATG